AATTACAGCTGATTCGTTCCCGCATTTTGTCATCTCATGACCTTTTTCTGCAATCAATCACGGTATTCCTTGATATTTTTTGATACCCCATCTCAGAATTTCTGCTAACGTAGAATAAATGTCCGTTACAGTCCGAGTTGCGATAAGAATACTCATTATATTTAATTCAAATCTTCCTGCATGCTGGCTCGCCTTCATATTTGTTCATTTGTATTTGGTAGAATGTTGAGCGGGTTTCGATCAAGTTGTCCTAAAAAAGGTCAGCTATTTTTTTCATGAAATTCCTGATGGATGCAACAAATTTTTTCCAGTATTGTTTCGGCAATATCATCAAGCTTAGTAGGTATCACCTGTCCTGTGATAGAAAAAAACTGGGGCTTTACTCAGTAGTTTGCTCCCAGAGAATTACCTTCAGAACTCGCTACGCATTGCTCATGGGATGAAGTGATATATTAGCGCTTTCAGCTGTGCTCTTGGAACGTCCAGCAGTTCTCCAACTTGTTGCTTTATCGCTAGTGAAGGGCCGAATCTTATAATGTACCAGGTACTCCACAAGTTGCCAAATGTCTTAAGTTCTCGTTTCTGCACCCTAATAATGAAACTTCAGGCAGTAACCGATGCTCGGAACTTCCTTGTCGAGATATACAACTCAGCACGTCAAACCAAAGCCGACATCAACAAGTGATACATACTTCATTTCTATTATTTAACGTCATAAGTCACTTTTCCATTATTCAACCCAATCCAGGCCGTTAATTTATCATCGTATCAAGTGGGTTTGAAGGCTCAGTTCACGATAACTTTGAAATATCTAGTTTAACGTGAATAATAAGAGTGCTGGTCCAGGACAGTTCCAAACTGCCAGAGAAAAGGGGAAAATTGACGTGCTTAGGGGAAGGTATGACTTCAAAAAAGAAGCAAAAGTAGAGGTTTGACGAGCATGTGACGACAAAGGTAGATTGGTAGTGGAATTTGATTGACTTGTCGAAATGTGTGTGCCATTGCACACAAACAGCTGGCTACAGTAAGTTGCCTCCGTGCAACGTGTGCGCCCTGATCCGAGTGGTGCAACCCCTACAGCTTCTACAATGCCAATAGTAGTCGCCTGCCTCAGGAGGATAAATCGGCTAAGCCAATTTGAGGGCCATGCTACGCCATGTCTAGGCGTTTTCGACCCGACAGATCCCTTTTGTTTTCCTTGGACGTCACCGGTTCATCCCCATGGAGGAGTCTCAGGAACTAGGACTTTTATCGTGGACTGTGCCTTTGAACATACTAATGCGTGCTTGATAACAAGGAACATTTAACGCAGTGACGATAACCGCGCTCTGGAGAAAAAAACGCGAAAGACGGGCGCTTTTTTTCCACCCGCGACTGCAGCCCACAGGTTGACTTCGCGGTAGAATGAGACCATATTTTTTAGTCAATTTGCGTTTTTTTTTATTTTCTGATTGCAGCACTTAGTGGTTTCAACCGTAACCTCAGTTATATATAGAAGTCTTCCAATAAGCTCCTACGGGCTTCGCATCTGATACATAACGAGGAGATACTAGTGGAAATAGTCTTTTCAGAATAGTATGAGGTTGGGAAAAACGTTTGCATCAATGTCGCACTGTCGCACTAGTCCCTTCTAGAGGAGGAATTCATTCCGAGCAGTTATTCCCCTGAAGAGGTGCAGGTGTGGTGTGGGAGTTAAAATTCCAAGAGTTAAAGATTTCTCGAGACGACACAGTATGCAGGTTCACTTAGTCCTGATTTGATCATTTGAGAAGAATGGTAGCATAGTAAGGTGAAATATTAGGTCGTGAAGAAAGTTTTTGCGGTTTTGCGCCTCAAACTTCAAATGCATATATCTCGGCTTGAACGAAACTTCATCAATCGAAATAACAACCATTGCTATCGACACACTTTTGTTAACGAAAAACAAGTTCGAGTATCCCATTCGCATAGAAGTCCGGAAATCTAGAGGCGATGAAATCGTCGAATGCCGCGGCAGCATGTTGGGTTTTGAAGCATTTCTCCTTGAGAAAGCGTCGAGATGTTTAAAGAAATGGTAGTCTATGGGAGCAAGGTCTGGGGAATATGGTGGATGCGGGAGAACTTCATAGCCTAGCTCCATCAATTTTCTCAGGGTAAGTTGTGCGACGTGAGGCCGAGCGTTGTCGTGGAGTAGAATTGGCCCCTCCTATTCACCAGTGCCGGGCTCATGAGCTGGAGTTTTCGATGCATTTCGTCAATTTCTTGGCAGAACTTCTCGGCTGTTACGGTTTCTCCCGGATCCATGAAGCTGTGATGGATCAGCCCGACTGCAGACCACCAAGCAGCACCATGACCTTCTGACTGAGTCAACTCATGCGGCACCCACTTATCGAGCTTCTTCTACTTCCCGATCCTGCATGTAGATGCCAACCGTCCTGCTGGAAACACTCAATCTTGAGCCAATATCCTTCAGCGTTGTACGTGGATTCTCTTCCACTAACACTCTCAATTGTTCGTTGCCAACGGCCGATGGCCGCCCACAGCGCTCATCATCTTCCAGGCTCTCATCACCGGTACG